TCTACTCTAGCGACATCATCCTAGGACCCAACCACACCAGCCACACCATCAGTGGCTTATTCACCTGCACATCTACTAATGTGACATATACCATCATGTATCAGCAATGCCACTCTGCTATGTATATTGGACAAACCAGACAGTCTCAACATAAAAGGATAAATGGACACAAATCAGGCATCAGGAATGGTAACATACAAAAGCCAGTAGGAGAACACTTCAATCTCCCTGGACACTCAATCACAGATTTAAAAGTAGCCACTCTTCATCAAAAAAAAAAAAACCTTCAAAAACAGACTTCAAAGAGAAACTGCAGAGCTACAATTAATTTGCAAACTTGAATAGGGACTGTGAGTGGCTGGCTTACTACAAAAGCAATTTTCCCTCTCTTGGTATTGACACCTCCTTATCAATTATTGGGAGTGGACCACATCCACCCTGACTGAATTGGCCTTCAACATTGGTTCTCCACTTGTAAGGTAACTCCCTTCTCTTCATGTGCCAATATACATTTATGCCTGTATCTGTAATTTTCACTCCATGCATCTGAAGAAGTGGGTTTTTTACCCACGAAAGCTTATGCCCAAATAAATCTTTTGGCCTTTAAGGTGCCACCGGACTCCTTGTTGTTTTTGTGGATACAGACTAACACGGCTACCCCTGATACTTTATCCTCAAGTGAACACAACCACATCCATAACTCAGTTGATAGAGTTTTAACTCAGACATTATTACTTCTGAAACTCTCTAGCTTCATACAACAGTGGCTATTGAAATGCCAAACCGCATTCATTTAATTTATCTTGGAAAGCTTCACATACACATAAAAAAAAGCCTCAAACCATAACAGAAACAAAAGGTCAGCCTGTTACTTTCAGAATAAATGTAGTAAACTTCAGAGCAAACAAGTTACAGACATTTCCATGTACAACATTGACTATTGTATAGTTGGTGTTTTTACACTACAGTACAATGGGGTCAGCATTTCTTTTGATAAGAAAAAATACAAATATTACAGTTGATAAGACATCCTGGTAAGTCCCCTCTGAAGAACATTTAAAATATTTACTTGTTTCTCATAACTAATTGGCACTGAGCTGCTCCAAAGTAAAGTTTCTAAAAACAGAGTTTAGGTTATTAAACCTTAGCACACATAGTACAGTTCAGTTATCCACAAAACACTCCCACTACACACTCTTCCTCATGAACCACCCCACAATTCCTGATCCATTCCTCTCCCTGAACGGGGACCTAGTCCCAGCTTATATGCAGATTCTTCTCTAACTAACCCACAAAAATTACTGTGTTTTCCCACTGCTGGTTTCCAACCTGGGCCAAGTCTGCAGGATCAGGCAATCAGAGAGTGATAGCCCAATCATGAGAAAAAACCTAAAGACGTAGTTTCTCTCTGTGACGTTCCCTTGGTGTTATTTGGACCGGTGATCTGCTAAGTCACTCCAATCCTTGACTCTGGGAGCCAGCTTTACCCTGCTCTATTGTGAGAACCCCCACTCCTGAGCTGTTCATGCACAGCCTCTGGCATGTAAGCTGCTTGGATTGTGCAACCGAATGACACTAGCCAATGCCTCCGGTCCCAGACAAAACCCTCGGAACCTCTGTCTTGCAGTGTCCAGTTATGCCCGCTGGACACTGCAAGCTTATATGAGTTCTTCAATTTAACAAATAAATTGATATGCACCAGGCCTGTTATCCAAAGGGGAGTCTCTGACACGCTTCAAACCAAATGAACTGCTTCAGGTAGAATAAACAAATTTATTAACTACAAAAGATAGGTTTTAATTGATTATAAGTCAAAACAGAACAAGTTGGATTTGGTAAATTGAAATAAGAACAAAATGCATTCTAAGCTGATCTTAACACTTTCAGTGCCTTTACAAACTTAGATGCTTCTCACCACAGGTTGGCTGGTTGCCCTTCAGCCAGGTTCTCCCCTTTGATCAGCACTTCAGTTGCTTGGTGGTGATGTCTGTAGATGGCGGTGGAAGAGAGGAGGAGGAGCATGGCAAACATCTCTCCCTTTTATCATGTTCTTTCTTCCCTCTTGGCTTTGCCAACCCCCCTTCAAGGTCAGGTGAGCATTACCTCATCATAGTCCCTGACTGACCAAGGCAAGGGGGGTAACTCACTCGAAAGTCCAACAGATCCTTTGTTGCTGCCTAGGCCAGCGTCCTTTGTTCCTGTGAGGCTGGGCTGGGTTTGTCCCATAGTGCCCTCTGCAGTATGAACTGCCCCTCTGCTCCTACAGATTTTTGCCTGTGCTTGTTTTAAGCCATGAGGACACATTTTCAGCCTCATAATTATATACATGAAATTACAACCTATAACATTACAATAACAACAATGCTCAGAGAGTCATGAGCCTTCCAAAGACACCCAACATGACAAACTTTGCACTGGATACCACACAATCATATTATAAGGATGAACATGGGGGTGCAGGGTGTTCCCCCGAGATACAGAGTGTCACACTCTCTCTCCAGACAAACATCTTTCAGCAATCAATGGACTAGTGCCATCTATGCAAACCATCTCCCAAAACATTAAAAGATCAGATTCCATGTATGAGCCATCTAGAAACTCACCACTATTCCAAGCATTAGATGGGCTCGGTCAAGTAATTTAGGAAGTGAACATTTCAATATAAATTAATCAAAGCTTTAATGCAGTGGCTCTCAACCTTTCCAGACTACTGTACCCCTTTCAGGAGTCTGATTTGTCTTGCATACCCCCAAGTTTCACCTCACTTTAAAACTATTTAGTTACAAAAGTATCACAGCATGCTATTATTGAAAAATTGCTTCCTTTTTCATTTTTACTATGTAATTATAAAATAAATCAATTGGAATATATTGTACTTACATTTCAGTGTATAGTATATAGAGCAGCATAAACAAGTCATTGCCTGTATGATTTTTTAGTTTGTACTGACTTCACTAATGCTTTTTTATGTAGCCAGGCAAATATCTAGATGAGTTGATGTATCCCCTGGAAGACATTGGCACACCCCCAGGGGTACGTGTACCCCTGACTGAGAATCACTGCTTTAATTAACATCTTCACTGGCCTGAAATTTCAGGGTTTCATTGCCCTGGATTGTGCAAGGCAGTTTCCCCATTCATTTAGGGCCCCATTCATTTAGGGCCCAGTTCATGAGGTCCTTACAGACCTGGACAACCAAAGCATTCACAAGACTGACACAACAGGATGCCACGTTGCTCAGTTTTCACAACAGAAATGACTACAGTAGAAGACTCCAAGGACAGGAGGACCATGTGACCACAAAACTTCAAAAAACAAAGACAGAACTGAATGCTAGGATTTTCTCATTGCTGATACAAACCTGCCAATGTGAGCTATCTTTATTCAAGCAACCTTTTAAATGTATGATATTCACTTCCTTTGTATTCTGAGAGTGTCAAGGTTCCTTCCCCACTCTGAACTCTAGGGTACAGATGTGAAGACCTACATGAAAGACCCCCTAAGCTTATTCTTACCAGCTTTGGTTAAAAACTTCCTCAAGGTACAAACTTTGCCTTGTCCTTGAATGCTATCTTGCCACCACCAAGAGTGTTAAACAAAGAACAGGGAAAGAGTCCACTTGGAGACGTCTTTCCCCAAAATATCCCCCCCAAGCCCTACACCCCCTTTCCTGGGGAAGGCTTGATAAAAATCCTCACCAATTTGCATAGGTGAACTCAGACCCAAACCCTTGGATCTTAAGAACAATGAAAAAGCAATCAGGTTCTTAAAAGAAGAATTTTAATAAAAGAAAAAGTAAAAGAATCACCTCTGTAAAATCGGGATGGTAAATACCTTACAGGGTAATCAGATTCAAAACATAGAGAATCCCTCTAGGCAAAACCTTAAGTTACAAAAAGACACAAAAACTGGAAAATACATTCCATTCAACACAACCTATTTTACCAGCCATTTAACAAAAGGAAATTAACGCATTTCTAGCTAGATTACTTACTAACTTTTTACGGGAGTTCTGAGCTGAATTCCTGATCTGTTCCCAGCAAAAGCATCACACAGACAGACAGACAGACAGACCTTTGATCCCCACCCCCCTCCAGCTTTGAAAGTATCTTGTCTCCTCATTGGTCATTTTGGTCAGGTGCCAGTGAGGTTATCTTAGCTTCTTAACCCTTTACAGGTGAAAGGGCTTTGCCTCTGGCCAGGAGGGATTTTATAGCACTGTGGACAGAAAGGTGGTTACCCTTCCCTTTATATTTATGACAGGGAGTAAAAAATAATAGCTTGCCCTTTAGAAATGTCATGTGTTTTTGCACTAAGACTAAGCTTCAGGGTTCTTTAATTATAAAACATTAAACATAAGATCAAAATGAAAATACAATAAATACTTTCTAGCCATTCCTTAAAAATAGGTGAAGCTGAACACTGTCATCTCACTATTGTACAATAAAAGTTAATAAGATTCAAAGACATATCCCCATGCACCGAGATAAGACTAAACTCCTAAATGTGTGTGAGCTGAGTAGTTCAACATACATTTATCAAAGAGAACTGTCTGGTTTTAAAGAAAATAAAATCCATCCTTTGGAACTCTGCACCTAATGTTCCATCAATAAAACATGAAAAAGAACTAGGAGCTCCGCCTCCTCCATAATCAGAACCACATTTTTAAGAAAGGCAATTTATCAAAGGTTTTCAACAAGTTTACATAATGTATTCCAGTGGCCACAGTTACACTGATTTACTAAAGGCATTCTTTCACTGGAAGGTAATCTCTGCAAAGAGAAGTCAGGTACTATAATCACAAACCTGATATTTGGCACAAACCCATGGCCAAAGCTACCCAGGGCCTGCTTTCTATGAGTCCAGATTGGTATTTTCCAAGAAATACCAGAACAAAATGAAAAGTGGAATATAAACAAATGTGCTGGGCATTAATGTCATTTTCATTTGAGGGAGCAGTGGAAGATCTCCACATCCCTCTTCACTTTCCACCTACTCACCTTTCCATGCACAATCTTACAAATGAAGGAGGTGAATTCCAAACCCTGAAACTGGAAAACACATGGGTGTTAAACTTGCAATTTTTAATTATTATTATTACATTTCAGGATCTAATTCTGGAATGAATCCCGTGTGGGCATGACCCAGGAACCCATGCGGAAAGCACAGCAGGATTGTGGCCTTGGTAACAAGCTTTTTATACCAATACAAAAAAATGTGGCACTGCTAGTTTCTCTTTTTTTTTTCTTCTTCTTCCCCCCAGCTCCCAGTTGCCCTACTCTGGTCACAACCCACTGAAGGACTGCCCCCACAGCATTCAGATTTAGAGAAAGTATTGTAAGCATTCTCCCCGCAAGATGCTCTGTCCCTACAGAACAGAGCTCCCTCCTCTGTTTCCAGCTTCTCTTACCTGACAAGAAATGGTAGAGGCTCACACTTTGTGGAGCCCACACCAGTGGTGAAGGAAGCATGTTTACTCCTTAAAAAGCCAAAGCACCATGAGAAGACCCCAGTGACTCTAAAGGATTGGGCAGGTAAAAGAAAGGCAATCTCTGATGGGAGGGGGGGGAGAAAAAAAGGCTAGAATCCTCTGATCTCACCTGACCTTCAAATAGTTCCACTAGTGGCTTTGACGTGCCATTGTTGTGGGAGCCAGGGTCTTAAGCAAGTGTCCTCCAGCAGACCAACCAGAGGACCTGAGATGGGTCAGTCAAAGCCCCCGCCCCCTCCCCACACACACACACACACACACCCTCCAACAAGGAATCAACAAGCTTTTTATCTCTGTCAGATACTCTGACTTGAGAACAAGTGCAAAGGCAGGTCAGAAAGCGTGTGCATCATCATGGGGATCACTGCTGGGTAGCTTTTTGATTATCTACCAAAAAAATCAGCTCTCCATCACTGTTTAGCTACATTTCACACCACTCTGGCAGTCCATTTCAGTGGAATGCAGTGAAGCTTATCTTTATTATCAAAGATTTATTCAAACAAATAGCATCAAGCTCCATAGTCCCTTGCAGTCTAATTACAGAGCAGACTTAAAAGTCACATTTTCAAAATCTCATTTCTTCTGATTCTAATCCAAACTACTAAGTACAGCTGTGAAAATGAAGCCTGTTAACATTTGGATTGTACAGATTCCCTTAAAAACACTGAAAGAGACTCAGGCTGCTACATTGTTTTAATCACATTTATTGATATTCATAATTATCTCCCTAAAAATTCTCATAGAGCAGGAGGTAGCATTAAAAAAAAAGACATGAATGTTGATTTAACATCATGCAGTGGTGCTAGTATGGACAGCACAGAAAGCAATATTAACTGTGGGCAGTACGATCAGGGGTGCTGGAGGTGCAGCAGCACCCCCCAGCTTGAAGTGGTTTCCATCATTACAGGGTTTACAGTTTTGTTTAATGGCTTTCAGTGCCCCCACTACAAAAATTGTTCAAATGCCACTAAATATGGCACGAAAGCAGAAAACGTTACAAACAGAAATCTCTCACTATGTTTATATATTATACTTACAGGCCTGATGCACCTCTGCCTTATTCTAGTTGTATACAAGGAAGTCAACGGAGTTCCATGGCATAATACTAGAGTAATATAGTGATAAATTATATATACAAATTTTACACAGGCACAGTATAAGACTTAAAGACAAGGAAATTTTACGTTTGTTTGGGTCACTAGTGATAAGCCAGGAAGCGCTAGAAATCTTCTGAGAATACCAGGATTGGATCTTGTAGTAGATAAGAATGACCATACTGAGTCAGACCAAAGATCCTTCTAGCCCAGTACTCTGTCTTCCAACAGTGGCCAATGCCAGGTGCCCCAGAGGGAATGAACAGAACAGGTAATCATCCAGTGATCCATCCCATCGCCCATTCCCAGTTTCTGGCAAACAAAGGCTAGGGACACCATCCTTGCCCATCCTGGCTAAAAATTTGAAGTAAAATATGAAAGAGAGACTTTCTTGGAATAGTACGTCAGATATATTGAGCAAACTATACACATGCAACCTGTAGGGCAATATTAATATCGTCATTTATACTGGATGCAAATACATATAACATTTGATTTATCTTTAAAGACGCAGTGTACAGCAGGGAGCAAAAAGGGTGAAATGATTAAGGTCAGGACTACAGAGAGGAGCTGCAGGTTCTAGTCCCACAAAATTCTTACATGAACCTGGCCTTTAGGGGTCATTCCTAAAAAGTGCTTTGGAGACAATGCGTGAGGTGGATGTTCAGAAGTTGTCAAGATCAGGGCCTTAATTTCGCTGTGACTCAATTTCCCTATCTGTGAAATAGGAATAACGCTTCACTACCTGCCCTCACTAACACCTCTGTGAAGTAAATTCACTCGTGTTCATAAAACATTTTGAAAACCCCAGTTGGAAGGTAATGTATCAGTGCAAAGTTTTATTACCATATTCATCCTTTATCTTGTCTCTTTGTTTGGTACTAGGTTTTTCCTGTTCATGTGAAGATACAACTGACAGTTTTCTGAAAAGATAAAAATGCTTGGTCACCTCTGGAGCTTACAACAAATACAGTAGTGCATAGGTAGTCCCTTCAATAGGATTCAGGCACCAGCTTGGATAGCTAAGTGTGGCATTTTGCATAATTCCTGAAAAATATTTTTCTGGCAAAATAGAAAACATAGAATCTCAGGGTTGGAAGGGACCTCAGGAGGTCATATAGTCCAACCCCCTGCTCAAAGCAGGACCAATCCTCAATTTTTGCCCCAGATCCCTAAATGGCCCCCTCAGGGATTGAACTCACAACCCTGGGTTTAGCTGGCCAAAGCTCAAACCACTGAGCTATCCCTCCCCCCAATAATAGATCCCAGATGGTAAGAACTCATGGTGGGCAAAGTGTTTTGTTACAGTAAAAACAGACTCGAGCCTAACCTGAACCAAACTTATTTTTTTCTAATTATTTTCAGTTGCTGCTTGTCTCTGCATTTTCCTGGGCCAAGCTGGGATGAGAAGTACCAACATACCCATGACAAGGCTGTTCTTAGAATACTTCTGTCTCCACTGAAAGGAAATACTAGAAATCTCAGGAGAAGACCTCTCAGCATAACATTTTAAACAAAGTTTAGCATATTCATGAGACTTGGATAGCTGAAATAAACATCTAGTGAAGGCTTTGCTGCACTGAACTTTTTGATTTTTTCCCAGCAACTATATGAATTTCAACCGCAGATCAGTATCAGCGTAATCAGTTTAAAGGCTCACACTAATCCTGACCGTAGGAAAGCTTGTCTCCACCTACAAAAAACCCACAGGAGGATGTGGAAACTCCTCATGGAGTTCCTGCTCCACCAATTGTCCCTGAAGGGAAATGCCAAACCTCTCCCCACACCCAACCTCTCTCTCTCTCACACACACACACACACACAGCGTATTTAGCCCCGAAGCTTCATGTGAAAGCATTTTGTCCAATGATATTTGATGAGACCTTGAGGATTCATTAGAAGCCATCACCACCTGCATGGGAACTTTGGGGCAGTCCGTATTGCCAGACTGCCCCTTGCTGCTCTCCCATGGATCCATATCAGCAGCTGACCCGGGAAACCTTCTAGGTGAAGAGACTCTGCCTCATGGAGGGTCTTTTCTCTGAAGCTAGTACAGCCTCATGCTGTACTTCCTTTCTGCACTTCGCTATAGGACTGGCAAAGGGGAGGAAAATGTGGACCTGATCCAAAGCCCACTGAAGCCATTGGGAATCTTTCCACTGGCTTCAGTAGGCTCTGGATCAGACCAGAATTTCCAAAAGAGCTCCGCACCCATATTCAGGGCCACATTCTGAAAACAGTGCATCCCTCATACAGGCAGCAAATAAGTGGCCGGACTTTCTAAAAAAGCTCTCTGTATGCTGGGTGCTGAGCATTTGAAAATCTAGCCCTGAGCTCTTCTGAAAATCTGGCCCCTAATGTAAAGCTCAGCCACCCCCTTCAGACTCAGAGATACCCAAGTCAGGAGACGGGTCCCCTGGAGGTCTGAGTTGGAGGCCTGAAGAAAGTGGTCACAAGCCTGAACTTCAGGACACTCAGCTTTCCTTCACAAAAATAGCCTCCATTCTCAGTGTTCTTGGCAAGTCTCATCAAATACCATTGGACAAAATACTTTTCCATGAATTAGGATTTGAAACTTGTTTGACATAATGCAGTCACAACTTCAATTGAAGGTGATGGTGGGGGGACGCACAGGTATGGTAGAGGGATAGCTCAGTGGTTTGAGCATTGGCCTGCTAAACCCAGGGTTGTGAGTTCAATCTTTGAGGGGGCCATTTAGGGGTCTGGGGCAAAAATTGGGGATTGGTCCTGCTTTGAGGAGGGGGTTGGACTAGATGACCTCCTGAGGTCCCTTCGAATCCTGAGATTCTATGATTCAAACACAAGGATGCTGTCAATTTCAAACTTTCAATGCTACTATGCCAATCTCACAGAAGTAGCTTAGTCACCAAAACTTAAATTACTAACAGGTCAAAACCTGTATTCAATTTCTTTTCTGAGAACAACATTTCAGCAGTTCTGTCATCAGTGAATTGATATGATAATTTTTAAAGTAACAAAGATTCCATTATGGTTTTTTTTATAAAGTACACAGTAGCGGCCCAAAAGACTATCATTGCCATTAGTTGTAATGTTTTCAACTGTTACTATATGTGTAAATTAGCTTTATTACACAATATCAAATGGCTGTGAAAAAAACAAGTATAATATATTGCTGAAAGGACTTTTCAATTACCCACGTTTAACATCTGTGGTCCAAATTCTCATCTCACTTATACAGACGCATCCCAATTAAGTCACTGGGGTTGGATTAGTGTAAGTGAGAGGAGAATTTGAGCCTGGCCCATGGAATTCTATGATGTATCCCAGTTCAAGTCCTGTCAAATCATACACTGAATCCTATTTCAAAGGAAATCTACAGTGCTCTCGGCCAAGGATTAGAGACAGTACCATTGATCCCAGTGCCGTTTGCCATCAGACAGCAGAAGAATAAAACCCACACAGATAAGATAGTAAGCTATTTAGA